TTCGGAGGCCCGCCGCAGCTCCGGGCTCGGCCGCGCGAGATGGGCGAGCACATCGCGCGGCGCCGGTCGGGGCCCCCAGCGAACTGCGCTCGCGAAAATACTGGAACATTGCCACGGGGGTGTGACTACCTACCAGACCACCCCAACCCAACCCGAAGACCCGAATTTCGGGCTGGGGGGGGTAAGGGTTCCACGCGTGTTTTTTCGATGTTCCCCGACCCCCCCCCACTGGAAATCGACTGTAAATTTGAACCTTCGGGTTGGGTTGGGGTGGTTTGGTGGGTGATGAGGGTGATCGCCGACGGCTCCACCCCCAGAGCCCGAGCAGGGTTCGCCCTCGCGGTGGGTCCAACTTCCTGCCCGTGCTGCACCGGCACTTGCTGCCATTCCCTGCGACGCGCGACCCCGCGCATCGAGGTTCCGACAACAACGCCCTTCGACCGCAGCGCGAACAGCAGGATAAAAGAGGGTCGCTGAGCGCCCCCAGGAGGGGATGCGTCGCCGCATTGGGCTGCCTCGACCGCCGGAGGGGCCCCCGCAGACAAGGCAACGCCAGTTCCAAGGTGGACTCTGGCACGCTGCTCTGGCGAGGCCCGTTTCCCGCGACGCACTCCCCGACGAAGTCGCCGACCCCGTCGGGCGCGGTCGGACCTGGGGGGGCAAGGGGCGGCGGCGCCGCCAAGGGTGGCAGAAATGGCAGACGCGCGCTCCCAAGCACACTCTTCCCCCACACTGCCGCCGACGCCGACGCGGGCGTCGGGGCGCGGCCCTGGGCGCGCTGCGGGGGGGGGGGGGGGGGCGGCAACTGCGCCAGCATCGCCTGCAGGTCCTTCCGAGGAATGCACACGCGCGCCGCCTCGTCCGCGAATAGCTGGGGCGCCTCGACGCGGCCCCCAGCGCGTTCGGGCGCCGCAGAGCCGCAGCCTGGGCCGCATTCGCAGCCATCAGCCGCTGAATCTCCAGCTGGGCCTCTGCGCGGGTCTTAAGCACCACCTCGCCCAGAGCCGCGGCAATCGCCCCCCCCGCACAGGGGCGGCCTCCCTCGCCCAGGGCTTCGGATGAGCGCCGCGACGGGCCCGCGGCGGAAAAGGAGGTACCGCTGGCAGCAGCGTCGTTCGCACAGGGAGGGGGGGAGGCTCCTCGGCGTCGGCGCAGCCCCCCCCCTCGCCCCCTGCGAACTCGTCCGCGGAATGGCAGGGCGTTGCCATCTCCGTGCCGGGGGGCACCTCCTCCCCGTCTTGGGGCACAACGCCGTGGATCGCCACGCAGCCGTCGCGCAGGCCGACAACCGCCAAAGAGTGCGGCCAATACGCGCGGCCACGGGCTGAACCGAACGGGACAAGCCCATCGGCGTCTCCCCCGTCGAAAGGGGCGAGAGCTTCCAGATCCACCTCGGAGATCTCCAAGTCGACTGGGCGAAGGATCCAGGCAGTGCCAGCAGAACGCCCCCCAGCCGGGGGGCAAGGGGATCGCGGCGTAGCTTACCTCGCCCTCGCCCAGCCGCCAGCGGTCGCATCGCGACGCCGTCGGAGACGAGAGCGGGCGGGGCCAGATTGGCCCGCCGGGGATGGCGAGCCCCCCCGACGCAGACGCGTCGTCCGCCATGGCCGCTGGCAGGCTGGGGGCGCGCTGGCCGCCGGTCAAGCTCGGCCGCGATGAGATGCAGCGTCCGGGCCTCGCGTCGAGGCCCGCGCGCGCCCCTCGGCCTGCGCGCCCGGGCCGTAGGCCAGGGCACGCTGCGGGCCACGACCGAGCCCACCAGGGGCTGCGATCGACGCCCGCGCGCGGGGGGGCCCTGGCGACCCCCACCAGCGGGCCACCAGAGCCCCGACGCAGCAGCCTCCGCAGAGACTGCAGGCGGCAGCGGCCACCAACAGGGCCACTACCGACGAGAGCAGCAAAGGGGTCGCGCCGCTGCTCAGGTCCACCGCCAACCCCAGGCAGGCGGCGGGGCAAGCCGCACCTCCAGCGGCAGGAGGGCAGTACCCTCCGCCGCTCGGGTCGGCCTGTGTGGACCACGACGACCCCGCGGAGGAGCCGACACAGTCCGCGAGAGGTGCCAGAGGTTGGCCCACGAGCCGCTCGTAGAGCGCGGCTCGCAGACCTTGGGAGAGCACCGCCCCCGCATCCCCGATGGCGGCCTGGGCAAGCGCCTGCATAAAGCGCCCGCCTTAGGATGCCACGCGAAGATTCGGGGCCGAAGCAGCTGCTGACCACCACGACGCGCGCAGGGACGAGAGAAAAAGAGAGGGCATCACCATCAGCATCGTTCGTATAATGTCTGATATGATTCCTCCTCCTCCTCCTCCTCCTCCTCCTCCTCCTCCTCCTCCTCCTCCTCCGCATCATCATCATCATCATCATCATCATCATCATCATCATCATCATCATCATCATCATCATCATCATCATCATCATCATCATCATCACACACCACCATCACCGCCACCACCACCACCATCAGCATATCATCAGAATCACCATCATCATCATCATCAGC